TAATTGAAATTAAACTGTGAGTGTCAAATAATCCACAGAAAACCCTACTTGTAAAAGAGTCATCTTAACATTTCTCTTCTCTTAAAATAGGCAAGAGAAATAGAGACCATACTTAGGGCTGGTTTGGTATTGCTGTGCTTTGAAAAAAAGCTGCTGTGAGAATAAGCGGCTGTGAAATAAATCAGCAGAGTGTTTGGTAAACTTTTTTGTAAAAGTGCTTTTGGAAAAAAAAGCAGTCTAATAGTGGGTCTTTTCATTAAAGAAGCACTATAGCTCCGTGTGCTTTGAAAAAAAACCAGTTTTCCAGCTACAAATAGTAGCTTCAGCTTTTTCCTTTGATTTCAGCTTATTCTCACAGCAACTTTCAAAATAAGCCCTTTTTTCAGTTTACCAAACACCTAAAACCCTCACAGCTTTTTTTCATGGGTGCTTTTTTTTTAAGCACCTCACTCCCAAACTAGGTCTTATTGAAGTGTCTACATCAAATTCAACACGCCTATTCCCTAATAACTTTCAATCATATTGGTATATAATTTGACAAAATTCAATGAATGCATTGCATGCATTGATTTCATCAAGAAAATGGGCGCGAAGATAAAACTAGGTTAATTTTTCAACATGCTTTATTATACTCCTCCATAGTTTCAACACCAACTTCATGAATAAATACAATAATTTCAAATATGGATCGAGCAAGAAACCTGTAGTTAGAGTCGTCCAAAGCGTTGATCTCTACATCCAAAATTATGTATTCAAGCCACTCCCCCAATGAGAACATTAATATTGGTCAATGAGTGAACCTAACAATTTTCTTTTGTGGCGTAAAAGATCTTCTCTCTTCGAAAAGGGCAGCAGTACTGGTTATACATGAATAATGGAACTGAAGTATATCTCTTACTTAACTGAGTTCGTGCTATTTGGAACTTCACAACCCCTTTGGTAGACTAGATGTGATTGAGCATTAGGGATGGGATATGATTAGATTGGTTAGGCAGGGTTTGTAACCCGTGTATATAAATAAGTTAGAGAACCTACTATGTTGTGGATGCACAACTCATCTTGTCCAGTCATGTCTATCTCACATTTTGACACAACAAAGAATGGACCAAACTCAAGTCCATTTATAATTGGTCACGACCTATCCCAATCTGCCCACCAAACAGCTCCTCATAGCACTCAGATCCAAAAGAAATTACTTCACGTATATGCATAAAAACATTCAGTTTCCATCACTACACAACTATCCTAAACACCTTAAGATTGACCTAATTAATAATTAACCTCTATGTTTTTTAACTAATACAGCAGTGAGGAACAGAAGCTTCTAAAAACGGTTGGCATGCAAACATCTTGCAGATGACGAGCAAACTTTATGAACCGTTTTCAGTTTGTGTGCACGTATGTGCTGCCTTGTACTAGTATTTTCCGAGCATGTGTGGTTCTTTATTTCAATATCGTGAAAGCACTATATATGTATGCGGTTATATAAATTATGTGAAATCTGCCTGAAAAGGATTTATATTTAAATAAAAATGAAGTACCCAGGAGAAACACAATGCATATACAGTTGTTTAAGATGATGTGGGACTATACTCTTATGACACAGATCCTGTTTTCTGTTACTAAAACTAATATTGCCAAATAGTTGAAGTCAAACCATATAATTGAGGAGCTTCTAGGGCATATTCTTAATTTTATTTTTTTTATATGTAGCATGATGAGACATGTAAAGAGAGAGAATGTATATAGAAGTTACAATCACGTGATGTGAGTCATAAGAAGATAAGGTCATGTGATCAAAGATTCAAAAAGATGACTGTTCATTCCCGAAGAAATATTATAAGAGGAGGAATGCTAGCAACGTTGTAATTTGAATTTTTTTGTTCTACCTACTTCTATTTTATTTTTTTCTCATCTTTAATTATTGCACGATGATTCAAACTGTCTATATGAAGTTAGAAAACTTATAGCAATCAACTCTGTCGAAAAACTAACTAAACTTGAAATACTTTAGCCACCTAATGGTTAATCAATAATAAACAAACTATATTTCTCAATTAAACACTGAAATTTTGACAACATTTATTGAATAATTAAACAAAGAAGAATAAAGAAAGTAGAACGAAAAGATCCGGTAAGTAAAATTATCACCCTTATGAAAGACAACCAAGAATCTCCCTTATAATTAATGGGAATGAGACTGTTCAAATAGGAAGATATTGAAAAGGAGAAAATTGGGAGAGAAAAAAAACCCAAATTTTGTTTTTATTTTTTTTAATAAAAGACACATATATTCAAAGTTGGAGTGCGAGGCAGTGGTTTGAACCTTACCTACCCCTCACCGATGAAACAAACTCCTGGTCTCCAGCCAACTGCGCTATGTCAGAAGTGTACACAAAGACCGCAAAAAAGTATGTCAAAGCTGCTAATCTTGTCGTAATAATGCAATAATATTCTCCTCTAGGTTTCCAAATTCTCCATCATTCGTTGGTCACGAATTCGATGGTTTTGGCCTTAAAAAGTGGTTAGCGATTTGATTGCATTCAAGAAAATCTCCAAAGGACTAAACCCATCTTCTACCTTGTATGGAAAAACTTATACGGTAAGAGTATACCGTTATAATACCGCCTCATGTTACTAAAATAAAAATATGTTTACGTATCCTTATTTTATTAGTACAAGACATCGCTTCACGGTGTTTTCATACCATGTAAGTTGTTTTCGGATTCTAGACATAATCAATAACGATTCATTAATCACTAATCAAACTAAATGCATAATTAATCCGTGGACAAATATGCTTCTTTACATACCTAAAAATGTCATCATTTAGTGAAAATGTAGATATTAAGCCATGACAAAAGGTGAACCTACCCCTTTGTAGCTACCAGAAATTCAAAGCTCAAAAAATGGTCAGAAAATAACTTTGAAATCTAGCTAGCTATACATGTGGCTTGAAAAACAGCTATCATAAGAAGACGAAATAAATAATTCTTAGAAGACAAATTAGTAATGCTCATGCGTATGTAAATGCCCCGCACATTTGGCACACAGGATGGGAGACTTTAGGACAGTTTGTTAGGACCCTTTTCTTACATCATCAAATAAAAAATGTCAAATGCTAAATTTTTTATCACATGTACAGTGTCGTGTTCCTCTTTGTCCTAATTATCAATGTCCTATCGTAAATAGAAAAAAATATATGTACACACACACACATTGATGTTGGAATATAAATCTTGCAATTTTTTACACGATCTATTAATTCTACTTGAAAATAATAGGTTTCGGATTAATATGTTAAAATATCGGGTCGTTATTGGTTTACTCGTTAAAATTCGTTAACATAACATGTATAACATGTAAACGACACAAACACGACCCGTTTGTCATGTCTAAACATTAGGCACGATAATTTCCTGCATTACCTGTTAACCCGACACAAAACAATACGAAAATAATATGTTCCAAGTCAACCCATTAACGAATTTAGTCGTTATTGGGTTACCTGTTAAAAAAATGTTAAGATAATGAGTTTGTCACAATATAATTTGTTAAAATAACTAATATAACACAAAAACGACACAATCAGAACAAATAAGATTCGTTTGTGGCCTTGTGAATTTTGGAAACATCATGGATCGAAAAAGCCCAGGCTTGTTTGGGGAATTATATTTGTTTGTGGCTTGACAACTTGCTTGACACATGATGGTCCAAAACTGGGACATGTCAATTTTAAAGCTTATCAGGTCATCTAAGCGGCATCTACCTCTCAATTTATTGGTTGCAAATAGAATAGAGGGTTTTTTCTTTTTCTTTTTTTTATTTGAATGGTGGCAATTTTGAATGAGAACAAGGATTGAATATACTCAATTTGTACCTTGCAAGAAGAAAAAGTTTTATCTATTAGCCCTTGAACCTTAAATTGAAAGCCTAATTTATCACGGTACTCTCTTAAAAGTCGAACATTTTACCACTCTACTTTTTTAATATAATATTTTGATAACGTTGGCATGAGAATTGATTTTAAAATGTCAAATGATATGAATGGTCTCACTTTGAGAGTTTCCTTAGCATTTCTCATTTTATAATCGTGATACCGAAGTTAGGACTCATTTTGAATTACCAAAAGTTTAAATAAAAGTGCTCATGTCACTGCATGCCCTTAAGGATGGTCATTAATTTGGGCATCTATGAAATGTCGTAATCGGATATCTTGATACTTAGTGAGTATCTATCATGAGCCAAAGCTCCACTTACACAAAATTTTAAACTCGTTAGCAGTTTAAGTTGTACTGGTTCAACTATGCGTAACAATTTACTATATTGGATGATCATGCCAACGATTGACATCAGATTTGGATCATTCCAGCACTGCTCCTCACTCGACTGACATGCCGGAATTACGAGGCCAAGTGTGATGCGGTGTTTACCAAAGTATGGGGCCTGTCTAGTTTTCTCAATTTGTAATGAGCTTTTTGCTCATCTGTTTGTTGGGCTATAAGTAGTGCTTTACTTTATTTAATGAATGATACTTTTTTCGACCAAAAATAAAATAAAATTTTTAACAAAAAAATTTCGGTATCGTTTATTTTAACAAAAAAAAAAAAATCATATTTTTACACTAAAAAATCAATTCTGATACTATTCACTTTACCCTTTATTTTGTCATTATTGTTAAAACTCAAAGTTTTCAAGCCATTTTCATTAGTTTTCATATAATTTTTTTTTTAAAAGTTTTCAACTATCGTTTACTAAGAAAAAGATGTGATGAGAGTGACATTTTCTCATAGTTTCACAAATAAAAACTTAAGCAACCATGAGATAACAAATTAATCAACCAAGAAATTGAGTTAATTTAGTAAGCCGATAAGCTTAGAAACTTGTATTTAATTAGTTTAATCTCCTCATATTTAGGGATCACCTGCACTAAATTTTAATGGTTTTACATAAGTCACGCATGTGCACTTCGTTATTTATGCTATGCAGCATATGAGTTGTTAGACTACAACATTTTCTTGGGAAGGCCATTCCTCAGAGTCAAGCAAGAATGCCAAAGAATCTAAATCCAACGAGGCACCGTAGTCCTCCAGATCGCAACCGTTTCCTCCCGTCCAGCAGCCGTCATTTATCATTGCCTCATCCAACGGTATAGAGTTGAGCAACTGAAACTCGTTGCAGTATTGATCTCCCTTCGCATCAATGTCGTCATCATCGCAGCCAAAGTTCTTCAAGATGTTGCTGCAGTCACCTGCATTAGTCCTCGGAAACTCTTCGGTGCTTCCGCCTTTTTCCGCCGATTGGGTCTGAAGCTCTAATGGGTTTGCGGCAGCTGCTGTATAATTTTCGTCACTAGGAATATTTTGTGGGACTAAAATTTTGGTCAACCTAGTGGCCTTGGTTCTTATTACTAGAGGTTGAGCAGCGGCAGTTGATGTTTTGGACTCGACATCTTTCTTTTTCGCTATGGATTTGCATGGATTTAGAGAAGTTTCTTTCGAGGATCCAGAAAACGAATCGACTTTCGATTTCTTCCCCAAAGTTGTATTCCAGTAATTCTTGATTTCATTGTCTGTTCGCCCCGGTAGCCTTCCGGCTATTAAGGACCATCTGTAGTAAAATATCAACAGAATTAGAGCATCCAACTCAAAACTGAAAACAAGTGTACGGGCAGTTTGGAAACTGAAAACAGTTACTGAAAAGTTTTCGATTTTCAGTTTTAAGAAAATGAAATCCGAAATGGTTATCAAACGGGCTCAAAATTTTAAGTAAGAGAAAGAGAGAGAGCGAGAGAGAGACGGAGAGAGAGACCTGTTACCAAGAAGGTTATGGAGCCTGACAATGAGTTCTTCTTCATCACCTGAAATGTTGCCTCTCTTTATGTCTGGTCTCAGATAGTTTAACCATCTAAGTCTACAACTTTTACCACATCTCTTCAGACCTGCATTTTTATTTTATTTTTTGAACAGTTGGAAGGTTTTGGTAAAACAGAGTGAAAACACAGCAAGAGACAGGTAAAAAGTGATGGAGAAAAAACGCGAGAAGCAGCTTAATTTTCTCACCAGCTCTTTTAGGGAGGCTTCTCCATTTTCCTTCTCCATGAGCTTTGATGTAAGATGATAAAATTTTATCTTCCAAGGCAGTCCAGGCTCCTCTGTTGAGTCCTTCCTTGGAGCAACACGGACTCCTTCCCATTTTCTAATTCCCCCTCTCTCTCTCTTTCTCTCTCTCTCTCTCTCTCTCTCTCTCTCTCTCTCTCTCAGAGTACCCACACACGGAAAAAAAGGAAGACTCGTGCCCTTTTATAGCCCACGCAACAAATGAAGACTGGCAATCAGAGTGAAAGCGACAGTTTGAAATACTGTGTAGCGTCTTTAGGCAAGGAACTGATGGAGTCTTGTAGAAGAAACCGTAGTTTTGCGACGGAGGAAGGATTTTGTGTTATGGTGTTTTTATATACGTGCACGTTGTCAAGCTATATCAGAAGCATTGATCATGTTAATTCTTATCTGAATGTACAAAAATGATATTATTACTATTTATTTGCATCATCTCTCTAATAAAGATGAACCCACATATGTTTGTGAGTTTTACTTCTGTTAGTGAGATGGTACAAATAGATGATAAACGTAGCACTACTCTTGAATATATTAAAGGTACAAGTGTAATATAGTTAGAAATATAGTTAGTAAGGTTGTTAGGATTTCTCTTATAAAAACAGTGTGTGTAATCTTCATTTGGTTAGTCAATACAAATCCTATTTCTCTCTCTAAACTCTCTCTATCTAATATCTCTGTGTTCATCATTCTCTTCATCCGTTGTTCTTGATTTTCCTTTCAATTCTCAACCATTGCAATGTAGTTAACAGAATATATGGTTCATATTTACAAAATCAACAACATAGATATTTTTCTTTGTATAAAAGGAACATTTACCTAATAAGATCATCTCTGATTTATGCTCTTATCTTTTTAATTAAAATGACAAGAAAGATATTTAATAGCACTCGGCAAAAGTTCTACACTCCAGTCACGTTTTATATGCTAGAGAATCGCAATGGCTAGAGCCAATAATATGGATAGTGGTTTAAAGTGAGAGAAATGTTATTAGCATTGAAAATAACTAGTAATCATGCACTCTTTTCTTATTAATTTGTTTCACCAAAGAAAAGTTCATTTAAGGAGCAAATTAAAAACATGCTCTAATCATATGAGAAACTTTTCATAGTATACATCACGTGTCAGTATATAAATAGAAAAAAATTATTTGTTAGGTTGTTAATTTTTTAACACAATTATCTCACTACTTCTATGATACACCAAGTTTCAAATACATTAATCCTTAAAAAATACAAGACGTGTTGTGCTGTGAATTGTAGACAGAAACATATTCAAATACATTAATCCTTAAAAAAATACAACACGTGTTGTGCTGTGAATGGTAGACAGCAACAGAATAATGGAAAGAAATTCTCTCCGGATTCCTTCCTCTTAATCCACCAAATCAGTAGATCCGTGCCATTGAAATTTGATCCAACAACTACAAACATGAGTTTACTTTAAAAGTTATAATAATTTTAATCGTTAAATTAAATTTCAATAGTATGGATCCACTGATTTAGTGAATTAAGAAAAATGAATCCTATGCATGCAATTTCTGCTCAATATTTAATTCAGGATGTGCAGATCTTCCCCTCTCTCCTTTCTCCATCGTATGTGGTGTAGACTTGTAGGTTCTAATAATTTAATTTAAGAAAACTAATGAAAAAAAGGTTTGAAAACTTTGAATTTTATCGATAAGAACAAAATAAAAAGAAAAGTAAATAATAATATGATTGACTTTTTAATATAAAAATATAATTTTTTTATTAAAATGAATAATACCTGAAGTTTTTTGTTAAAATTCCTATTAATTTACCATCTACTGGCCTTCAACTTCATTTGCAATGGGGTACTCATGACTTTAGGATTCTTAATCCCCAAATTCCAAAAGTCATGAAAAGAATATCTGATCTGTTTAGAAACCCAAGGGACTAGTTGGATTAATGATAGAAGTTAATTGGCTCCTGAAACTAATGCTCGTGAGTTTGAATTATTATACATGATTAGAGCATTTTCAAAAGAGATGTCTTAGTCAAGTATCAAACCAAATTATTACTAGTTCATTCATTAGGCTTAGTCTACTTCCACATTCTTTTAATGTAGATAATATCGTTTATTAAAAAAAAATTATACAATTTTTCGCTCCACCAATATGTTAAATAAAAATGTCATTTTATAATTCTTTATCTCCTTGTGAGGTTCAATTATTGAAATAACTAATCAAATACTTAGAACACCCAACAACATTTATTATATATTGAATCATGTTTATTAAAAAATCATTAAATAAATTTGACAGTAGAAGGTTTGCCTTCAATTGACTCAGCGTCACGTAAGAAACTGAAGACTCGGTTGGAGAGAGTTTGCTACCATTTTTTACAGTTGCATGTTTATGTATCAATTTTGACATCTCATTTGGAAATGCTTTTATACAGTTACGACTTAACGTCATATTGGTCCTTGTGTTTCATTCTAAATGTTAATTTGGGCCCGTGTTTTTAACTTTTCCAAATTGGTTATCGTGTTTACCTCAATTACCGAAACCTAGACAATCCATTAAAAACCCATTAAAATTGAGACAAAAATGTAATTCCATTGTAAACCTATTAAATGCATGCGAGATCAGATTATCAACAAAGAGGCCTCAAAATATTTTTGCTCTAGATAGTCTTGCAGATATTTTGAGATGTCATCATCAAACATCTGATCTCGCGTGTATTTAATGGGGTTACAACGGAATTATATTTTTGTCGTAATTTTTACGGCATTTAACGAATTTTCTAGGATTGACTAACAAAGGTAAACACGAGTACTAATTTGGCCAAATTGAAAACAAGAGAACCAAATTGTCCTATAAAGTGAAACACATTAACAATTTTGATATTTAAGTGTATATTTAAACATCTATAAATCAATAGTCTTATATATCAAGGAAATCAATGAATTTAGCGAAATATTAAATAATCGATAAATTAATATATACATGTAAATGGAGCACACCAAAATGACGAAGCTTTTAATATTCTCAAAATACGCTTCTTTAATTAAGAATTAAAAATAATAATTTAATTTAAAAAAAAATCAAACTAAATATAAATAAAAATAAACAATAAAGAATAAAGAATAAGATGTAAAAAAGTAGACTGCTACAGGCATGGCTAGTAATTTATTAATTTACTGATTAATTAATAACTTATTATATATAATCTTATCAAGGTAATTCTTATTTTCTTAAGTATTATATATTGTATTTAGTTTTTTTTTTATGAACTAACAATTCTATGTATTTGTTAAACCAAGTAAAATTATGTATCTACTCATACATTGTTCAAGGTATAACATTAATCAATTTTATAAACATTTAACCAAGCAAAAACTCTATTTAAATAAATAGAAGACTAATGTATTAGGAATTTATTAATTTATATCACGTAGGACCTATATGAATTTTTTAATTATTAATTTATAATGTTATCTCCAAGTCAGGACTGGTCAAAAATATTATTTAATTCTTGTGTGCAAATATTAATAGAGATTTATAAAATCCGATCATTAACCAATATGCTGTCTAACACACGCATTGTAGACCGTTCCAACAATAAAAAAATTTGCAACTTTTTTCTGTAGCTGCCAAGTGGAAAATTTTGGAGCATCCAACAATAATAATGTTGAAAATCAACAATCATGATTAATCCAATAGTATAAAATAAAATAAAAATGAAAAAATATCTATAAATACTCAACCATCTTTTTCATTTCCACTGCATATCAGACCACAACACAACTCAATATTTATTTTTTCTACAATCTCCAATTCACAAATCCTTTTGTTACAAAGAAAAATAAATGAAAAGGCAAATTGGTTGATTGTGGAAGACGTTGCTTTACTTCAAACTTGCGTGGTTGTTACTTATGATCCGATCACAGGAAATGAGATGAGGGTGCAACACATGTGAAAGAAGATTCATGCACAATTTATTTAGCAGATTAAGGACACATCCTGAACTAAGAAATCTATGCTAAGAAGATTCATCCATCTGCATAAAGATTTGAAAGGTTGGTAAGAAATCCTTCTAAAACCGGAAGGAATTTATCAAAGTGACAATAATCTAGCCAATGAGGTAAAACATTTTATTATTATGTCATGTTAAAATTTAATTAAGGTAACTAAAGTAATAATTTGATTATGTAATTTATTATGTTGTTTCACATTTCTTTTTTCAACAACTATAAGCACAAATGTGCTCAATCTTGCCAACTATAAATCATCACAAGACACAAATGTTGGAATATTGTGAAGGACACTCTAAAGTACAAAGTTCTACCAAATGGTCCATAAGTTGTGTTGAACCTAGACTCCTCTTCACGAATCAACTAATGGAGAGTCGTCATTGGAGACTCCGATTGAATCAGTCGCACAAACTCAAGAAATCTAGAGGCCTATTAGTAAGAAGGTTTGCTAAGAAAAAAGTTGTAAGAGGGCGTTCTTCGAATAATGATTATTCAAAGTTAGTTGATGAAATGGCTCTCCATCATGCACTGAATATGGAGGAAGAAAGGTTATTTTATGAGCAAGACAAGGCTAAGGATGAAGCATAGGCAAGAGAAAGAGAGTTAAATAGGCAAGAAAGGGAAGAGGAGAAGGATTGTCATACCATGTCTCGACGCTTCGAAAAGATGTCTCTTGATTCAAAACGTTTTTGGAAAAGTGAAAAAACCCGCGTCATGAGGAGAAGGCTTTCCTTTGAAGTTGAGGAAATTCCATACATTCCAATGGAAGACGGACCGAACCACAATGATTTTATCCCCTAGGTTAAAATTAATTATGTTTGTTGTAATGTTATACTTTTGCCCTGTTTTGAATTATTTTAGGTTTATTATATTAACACCCCACAAATTGTTGAATAAACCTCACATACTTAATACACCCCACATTTGCTTTTTCACTTAAAAATTATCTTAATACACCCCACATACTTCTCCATAATACCCCCACACCCTACATTCTCAATATACATCTTATATTTTCTACATACACCCCACATTTCTCAAATCTTATAACACTTATTTTTAATTTTCATGGACTGAATCTAA